TTTTTCAGTGGTACTTTGTCAGATTATGAAATCATAAACATTGTTCATATATAAACTCATTCTTGATCATTGACATTTAAAGAGAAAACATCATTTTATACCAATTTTGTGTATACGGTATCTTCTTCCTTTTGTTGTTATATATTCTCAAGCAGAGGCAGGTTTTTTTCCCTTCAGATCTCAAGCTGAGTATAAGGAAAAAAAATTTACACTATTGTAGATTACGTTATCTAGTGCTTCTATAGAAAACTGAAAATAAAACATAGGATTCTAAAAATTACATAGTAAATTTTATTTTGGGACTTATTAAACTATTTTTAGTTACATAATTGCTTTGGCTTTTATATCCTACAAAATAATAGCTCCTTGAACATCATCATCATCATTTTACTTTTTCCATTGCCACATACAACAGTAGCCTAAAATCACATGTAAGGGATTATGTTATTTCACTTTCAGTTACTATTCACCATATAACAAGGTATATAACGATGAAAGTGACATAAAACATCTTCTTCCTTAAATTAAACTAATCTGCCTTCTGAGCTGAGCCTAATCTTTCCCAGAAGGATGGCAGTAGCACAGTTCAAGAACAAGAATGAATCTCTGTATAATCACACTACAATGTGAGGTGACCCTAAGACAGAGAACTGACCAGATACACATATGGGTTTTAGGAAGACTTTCTGATGCTCTTTTTTAACACAGCTGTGAGAAAAATGTGGCTAAGACCCAATAGTCATTCTTGAGTAGAGCTGGCAAAGGAAACCATGAGGAGAAGAGAATTTAACACATGGGTGTAAGAGAGTACGGCTTCATTGATGTGATCTGAGGGGAATGCCTAATGACTGGAAGAATCAAACTTGGCAATGAAAACACAAAGCTCTTTTCATCAATTCAAACGCAGACTCTAAAGCTGCAGATGGTCACCTCCAGCCTTGTCTATTCAGCATGGGGTTTTATAAAATGGCACTTTGGTGAATACTAATAGATCAAAACAAAGATTTAATAACGTAAGGATGTGGTGTTCATTTTTAAATGAGTATACAGGTCAGTGTCTTAGAAAAGGATAAAAAGTACCTTTTATATGTGGGTCTAAAGTCTTTTTGTTATTTTTCAACTTCAAAAATAAATGACATCTTTAACGTACAGATTGTGTTTTATAGAGAACAGTTTACATTATGAAAAAGAGACCCAAATCAGGTTTTATATTTATGTTCATTGACTTCATTGCTTTTATTTGAGGACTCTCAATGCATAACATTGGTTAATGTCATCTTTTAATATTTTTTAAAGCTTACTCAATAGGATAAATATATGTTGCCATTATCAAAAAATTAATCTAAGTAAAAATTTAGGTCAAAGGTTTTATACTTAGAACAGAACTTTTTCCCTACCTTTTCAGAGAATACAGAAACATTGTTTAATGCAAAGGAAGACTTTGAACTTTAATCCAGTCATGAAATTGCATTTTGCTGACTTTCATTTGATTTGCTAAGATTTTAGAAATTCATAACAATTGTTTACATGTAAAGAGATAATTTAATTTACTGTGTTCAACTTACTACTTAGATTAACATAACTGAGTCTTACTTTAAATTAAAATATGGTTTATTTTTCTGGAATAAATTTTAACTAGACTTGGTTGGGACTTTACAGTGTATAAAATTTTTAAGCTAAACCCAAGCTAATGAAGCTTTATCTAAAATAAACTTAAAATTGAATTTAACCCAATAATAGCTTTCTTATTTATGTTACTTGTGAAATATTAAGTCTGTATTCCTCATACTTTTATCTAACAGATTACATCAACATATAACATATTAAAACACTAGGATTTAGTGGCCAGCAGTTAGCATGGTGGCTAAAGGTGCTGGATTCCCTCATGGCTGACTGTGGTTCGAGTCCCAGACGTGGCAGTTTGCTTTCTTCCTCTCTCTCTCTCTCTCTCTGGTCAAATTAAAAATTAATCTTGGGGACCAGCAATTAGCATAATGGCTATGTCGCTAGACTCCCATGTAGTCGAGTATGGTTCAAGTCCCGGACCCTGTGGCTTAAACTCACACTGGGCGCGTGTGCGTGCGTGCCCAAGATCCCAAGAGGAGAATGAAGGAGAAGGGATTGTGGCGTGACCATCCCCCCTGGGGGGTGATTTCTGGCTTTCTCTCTCTCTGTCTCTCTCTGTCTGTCTGGCGATTGCATGCACCCTATAGCAAAAACCTCTCCCCCCCCAAAAAAAAATTAAAAATAATAATAACAAATGGAAATAAATAAATAAATAAATAAATAAATCTGGAAAAAAAAAATCCCACTAGTATTTAAAGTTAAGAGTGGGCAATTTACGAGGCCAGCAGGCGGCATGATAGTTAAGGAGGTGGACACTCCCACATGGCAGACCACAGTTTGAGTCCTGGACCTAGAGACTTGCTTTCTCACTTTCTCTCTCTTTCTCTCTCTCTCTCTCTCTTTCTGCATCTCTCTCTGGTCAAATTTTGAAAAGGGAATGAATAAATAAAATTAAAATAATTCTTTAAAAAAGAAAAGGAATGGGCAACTTGGCATTTAGTTGAAATACAAGTGAAGTAAGGGCCTTTCACTTTCATTAACTCAAGTATGTACAAGTAATTAAATTGTGTCTTCTTGATTTTCTCATCTGGAACATGGAACTGATAAACATGCTGTATCTATTTCAAAAGATGGCTATAAGGATCAAATAAAATGCTTATGCATAAAAGGACTTTGAAAACTATGATGTGCTCGATATAAGCTATTGAATGTCCTCTACTTGTAACATACATTTTCAATTTAAAATTTATAATCACTTCCTTGGAAATAGAAATGTAAGAGAAGCTGACAAGCTGCACCACCTTCTGCCACAGGAGGTTTCAGTGCGATGCCCAAATCCAAGCGCGACGAAAAAGTTTCCTTAACCAAAACTGCCAAGAAAGGCTTGGAACTAAAACAGAACCTTGTAGAAGAGCTTTGGAAATGTGTGGACACATACAAGTACCTCTTCATCTTCTCTGTGGCCAACATGAGGAACAGCAAGCTGAAGGACATCCGGAACGTCTAGAAGCACAACCAGATGTTCTTTGGGAAAAACAAGGTGACGATGGTGGCCTTGGGTCGAAGCCCAGGTGATGAATACAAAGACAATCTGCACCAGGTCAGCAAGAAGTTGCGGGGTGAAGTTGGTCTCCTTTTCACCAGCCGCACTAAGGAGGAGATGAATGACTGGTTCACCAACCACACAGAAATGGACTACGGCCGACCTGGGAACAAAGCAGCTTTCACTGTGAGCCTGGATCCAGGGCCTCTGGAGCAGCTCCCCCACTCCCTGGAGCCACAGCTGAGGCAGCTGGGCCTGCCCACCGCCCTCAGGAGGTGTGTGGTAACTCTGCTCTCTGACTACGAGGTGTGCAAGGCGGGCGACGTGCTGACGTCGGAGCAGGCCCGGATCCTGAAGCTTCTTGGGTACGAAATGGCCGAATTCAGAGTGACCATGAAGTACATGTGGGATGCACAGTCGGGAAGGTTCCAACAGGTGGGAGACGACGTGCCAGAGAGTGTGTCAACAGTCAGCAGAAGAATCAGAGGATGATGACGACGACTGATGGGAACTCAGGGCTGAAGGCCTTCGGCATGTTCCGGGTCCCGAGTGGACCACGCAGCACTGCCCCCACCCCTCTGAAGGGACGGCTGTTTACTTTGCTGCGGGTGAAGATGGGAGTGTGATGGGCACTGACTGATTCTATAGAGAATAAAACTGTCTGCAGGGGTCTGCCTGTCGGCAACAGAAAGGACTTCCCTTAGGAAAAAGGGCCTTGGGGGTCATGCTCCTCTGGGAAAACCACATTCTCTTAATCTGTGAGCCACAGCCAAGCACCCCAGCGCTGGGGCTCGTCCTCATGGCCTGGTGTGCCTTGCTTGGAAGAGGATTTTTTGAGTTCTCCTTGTGTGCCTTTCCTAACCCCCACACTCACTCTCTCTCATGCTCTCTCTTGCACAGTCTCTCCCTCACCACACACCTTTCCACTTGAGGGCTGAGAGTCTGACAGGTCCCAAGAAAATAGGAGGAGGGCCGGCAGGTGGCATGGTGATTAAGAGCGCGGGGCTCCCACATGATGGCGGGTGGTGGTTTGAGTCCCAGACCTGGTGCCTTACTTTCTCAGTTTCTCTCTCTCTCTCCCTCTCTCTCTCCCTCTCTCTCTCTCTCTCTCTCTCTCTCTCTCTCTGTCCCTCTGGTCAAATTAAAATAAATAAAGTTAAACAAACAAACAAACAAACAAACAAAAAGAAATGAAGAGAAAAATATTTTAACATAGAGACAATGTATCATGTAATTTCTGAAAAAGAATTCTTTACACCGACACTGGAAAAAATTAAGAGTTCTGTGCATTTTGGGTATATATACATATACACATATATATTTGTGTGTGTGTGTGTGTGTGTGTGTGTGTGTAGAGAGAGAGAGAATGCACTTGCTGAAAGGGGTAAAGAGAGAGCGAGAGAAAATGCAAAAGGACCTTCCAGAAAGGATGGGCATGCCGCAGTCTCTTCTCCATTCTCTTCTCATGCACCTGGAGTGTTTTTCAAGTCATCTAGTCCAGAACTCAAACCACACACTCAGTCATGTGGGATCTAGCCACATTAGTCACCATGCCACCTGGCTGACTCATCCATTTTTATATAATGCTGGTGGAAATGCAAAATGGTAATACCTCTGTGATGGAGAATGTAGCAATATCTAACTAAATTACATATGCATTTATTCTTTGACTGAAGAAAATTACCTTAAGGAATCTGTCTTGAATATATACTTCCATGAATAGGAAACAGCATAAAAATTACAGTATTATTATTTTTTTTACCACGAATCAAATTTCCCCAAAAGGGGAATTTTATTGATTACTATCCCCTCACAAAAAGACCAACTGTAATCAGATGAGGTGAACATTCACCTCAAGATTTTGTCGTCTTCATAATAAAAAAGATGAGGCTTAGAACTGGATCACTTGACCCTTTCTCTTTTTATCTCCTCCCAGTTCAAAATGCTTCCATCTCTTGATAGCCAGCATTCTCTTAGATCTGCAGTTGGGCTCAACACATTCAAGCTTCAGCACAATCTTCTTTGTAGTTTTTACCTTTTTTTGGAAAATAGGCTTAGTCTGTCCACGATAGCCACTCTGCTTCCTGTCATAATGCCGCTGTCCCTGAGCAGACAGAGAATCTTTGCCCTTTTTGCACTCTGTCATTTTATGAGGCTGGTGCTTGCCACACTTCTTACAGGATGTCCAGTGGGTTTTAGGGACATTCACCTTGTTTGTGGGCCTGCTATCTGCACAGAAAGAGCCAGTATTATTTTTAATAGCAAATTGAAACAACCCAAATAAGAAAGTGCTTAAATAAACTATGGCACATTCACACAGTAGAATAAAATAAAACTATTAAAAAAAAGCATACTTGTAATCTGGTATATAAACTATACCAGCTTATATAAACTATGCCGGCTTATAGATATCTAGAAAGAAAGGAAGGAAAGAAAATAATGGGAAGGAAAAAGCCCTTTTGCATAGAAGAATGTCAGTTTAATGTCATCCAGGCAGTGGTACAGTGGCAGTGCAGCCAGACTCAAAGGGAGTCTTGTGTTCACTTCCTGGGGCCTACCTACACATGCTGGGTACATATGTGTGCCTATGATCCGGGAGCTGAGACTGGGGATGTGTCTTGGTGTAAGGACTCTCTGTTGGGGGTGAGGGGTGCCTGCACTTCAATTTATCTGTCTCTCTCAGAAGAAATAAATAAGTTAACTTTAAAGAAACGTGGTATCAAGGGGGCCAGCAGGTAGCATGGTGATTAAGGGCACTGGACCCCCACATGGCCAACCACTGTTCAAGTCCTGGACCTGGTGGCTTGCTTTTTCACTATCCCTCCTTCTCTCTCTCTCTCTCTCTCTCGCTCTCTCTTCCTCGCTCTGTCCCTCTCTGATCAAATTAAAGTAAATGTAAAAATAAATAAAGTTAAATAAAGTAATTCTTTAAAAAGAAAAGAAAAATGGTATTAGGGCCAGCAGGTGGCACGGTGGCTAAGATACTGGACTTCCCCGTGGCCAATATTTTGAGCCCTGGGCCCAGTGGCTTGAAAATCATGCCAGGTGTATGTATTTGTGTGTGCCCAAAATTCTGAGAGAAGGTTGGAGGAAAAAGGACTGTGGTGTGGCCATCCTCCCTTGGGGGGTGGAGTGTGGTTCTCACTATCTCTCTCTCTGTCTCTCCCTGTCTCTCTCCAGGGAGTGCACATGCCCTATGACAAAAACCTAGAAAAGAAGAGAGAAGGAAAAGTGGTACCAAGTGATTTCCTGGGCATATATCTACCTGAAAAACAAATCAAGAACTTATAATCAACTACCTTTTATGTGAGAAATGAGAATAAAAGGAACAGGAAGAATAAACCATAAACTAATTAAAATGATTACCTTTAGATGTAGCTGAGTAAGAGAGCAGGGAAAGTGCAGCAGTGTAACTTTTTCAATTATGCCTTTTTGTATAATTTCCGTTTTTGAACCATGTAAATGTTTTACATATTCAGAAATAAAAATCATAGAAAAAAAAAAAGATGAAAAGCAAGCCTTAAGAGTGAATGCATGGGATTAGCAGTTAGCGTAATGGCTATGTCACTGGACTCCCATGTAGTCGACCGCGACCGCGGTTCGCATCCTGGACCCGGTGGCTTAAAACTCACGCCGGGCACGTGTGCGTGCGTGCGTGCCCAAGATCCCAAAAGGAGAATGGAGGAGAAGGGATTGCGGCGTGGCCATCCCTCCTGGGGGTGATTTCTCACTTTCTATCTCTCTGTCTCTCTCTATCTATCTGGCGAGTGCACACGCCCTATGGTAAAAACCTCTCAAAAAAGAAAAAAAGTGAATAAAAAAGAGTGAATGCAGAGGCCACCAGGTGACTTAGCGGTTAAAGCACTGGACTCTCACATGGCTGACCATGGTTTGAGTCCCAGACCTGGTGACTTGCTTTCTCACTCTCATTTGTATGTCTTGGACTGAATATTTACATGTCTCTCTAGGTTGGAAAGTTTTCTTCCATGAAGCTATTTTGGCACTAAAATCAGTCTATCTAAATAGTTTGAGAAAACTTGCTTAGCATACACAGAAGTTCAGACCTTAAAAAGCAGAGTGGGCTTTGAGCTATATTTAGGGATTTATTATCAAGGTTTATGTAGGGGGCCAGTTCAGTGGTACTGTAGTAGCATGCTCCTCAAGCTCAAGCGCTGCTGAGTCTACACGAAGGTCACAGATTCTGTTTCTGGTGAACTGTAAACATCAGGTGTGTGCACCCATGATCCTGGCTGGCTGGAAAAACTAGGGGAAGGAGGGTTGACGTGTGAGACCCTTTGAGGGTTCTTGTCTGTCTGTCTTTCTGTCTCTCACTGTCATAAAAGAAAAAAAAAATTAAATTCACTTTGAAAATTTTTCTGACTCAAATATTTTGTGCCTATGTAAATGGTAGCAGATAATCTTAAACTACTCATTTTCTTACCAAAATTCTTTTTTAATGGAACTCACCATAGGGACCAGCAAGTGGCATAGTAGTTAAGGCTCTCGACTCCCACATGGTCAACTGCATTTCAAGGCCCAGATGCAGTGGCTTGAAACATACCAGGCATGTGTGTACGCATGCCCAAAATCCCAAGAGGAAAATGGAAGAGAATAAATTACAGATTGGCCATCCCCCTGAGGGGGAGTGATTTCTTGCTTTCTGTCTCTGTTTCTCTCTGTCTCCCTGGCAAGTACATGTGCCACATAGCAAAAATCTCTCCATTAAAAAAGAAACTCACTCCAATATAAACAATTCTTTCCTTAGAGACTTTATCAATATTAGACTAAGTAATGAGCCTTTCCTTATTTAAAAATTTCATATCATGTTTATCATAGAGTTTTTGTGTTAATTTTTTATTTTTAAAAATATTTCATTAAAACATTAGTAATCTTGTTTACTGAGGATTTTTTACACTCCTTTAACCTGATATGAGTACATCATTCATCTCTAGTTCTAGTTCTGAAGGATACTGTAAGAGTTGAAAAAACACTGCTAGAGAAAATAAAAAGAGAGAGAAATGATAATTTTCAAAGTCATCCTAAATTCTATGATTCCTTGTAAATAATGTTTCATGTTCAGACATTGACAGTGGTATTATGGATGTGGACAACTGTGGTTCTTCTCACCTTATGGGATTTGCCAGGTTTTTAAATTACATGGTATCCAAAAAACCTACCACAGTCTAAATTTGTTTCATTATCAAAATTTGTTTCATTATCAATACCTACACCACTCTTGTGAACGGTTGCTTTGTCTTTATTTCAGTCATCTTTTATACTCTGTGTATGACCTATCAACAGTAGGCCTCTGGTTGCATTCTGTTTCCAAATGTTGATTTCAATTTGAGAATATATGGTTTTTATAAATCAAGGCTAAATGAAGTAGAGAAAATGACTAAGATGATAGCAGCTTAGTAAGTTGAATATTACTTTTATATTGTAGGCCCATGGCTTAGTCTAAAATTTGAGGTTGCATTGATATATTATCTCTACTAGTCTCCCAGAGGATGTTGCCAGTCTTTTGAATTAAACTTGAATAAGGTTGATTTGTATTCCTTGTTAATCAAAATTTGAAATGTTGACATTAGAAAATTTCATTCAGTGCTAATTATATATGACTTTTATGAAAGTTAGGAAGGAAAGAATCCTACATTTTAAAGTTTAGTATCAGCCTAAAGCCCTATGAAAACAATAGTGAGTAGCTTAATAAGCCATCTTAATAAGATACCTTAATAAAACTAACCATTATTCTAGCTTGCTGCATTTCACTTGGCAGGATAAAACTCAGTGACTCACTTCCTCCATCATTAATTGAAACTTTTCCAGGTTTAAAATGATCAAAAACCTTAGCAATGTTGCAGCAGCTCACCTCAACCTTTCTTGGCTGTTGAATCTCTTTAACAATATATATTCTTTAGGTAATATTTTAAACATCCTCTTGCATTTGGTATAAGATGAAAAAGTTAATTTGTGTTGATTTCTTTATACATTTTATTTAAACATAATATTTAATATTCATTATATGTAACATCACATGGTATTTAATTTCAACTATGTAGGAAAAGGCATCATTTGTCAAATTTTATAATAGTATATTAAATTTGGTTTAGAGACTGAATATAAATAAGAAAGTAGATTAAAATTTAGTAACATGTTATGGCATTAAATAACTGCTTATGAGATGATATTTGTAATTCTTAACACTTTACTTTTGAAATTAAATAATAGAGACTTTTCGGCTTTCATTTGCTAGAATATTTCTGCAGATAATGCATTGTGGGTGTCTGGCCTTTATTTCAATATTTTCTTTCTTTAACTGTTTTTTAAGTAATAGCTACATAATAAGCAATATGAGTACTTTGATCAAATAAATATGATTTATGGATGTGATGAAGACAACAGCCAAATTTACACATTTATTTTATGCCCCTCATTAATATATTTCAATGTGTTTTCTGTTTCCTCTAAGTATTCAGTGATCCATTAGAGATGGAAATTAAACAATCTACAACTGAGGAAGAAAAAAATTATGCTCAGAAACAGCATGTTGTCTAGCTATATTCATTTAAATGATCAATCACTCAGAGGTTGAGTCAGAAGCATGCCCTGCTGGTCTTGGCTTAAACTCCACTCTGCTTGCAGAAGCTGTCAAATTATTTCATTTGAAAAGGCAAAATAAAGGGGGCTTGGGAGCTGGTTCCATGACTTGATGATTTAGGCAGCCAGATCCCACATGGCCAACTCTGCTGTTTGACTTTTTTGACCCAGATGCTTGAGGAACATGATGGGCATGTATGCATGCATGCCCCAAATCCCAAAAGGATGTAGAGGGAAAAGGAATTGCAAAGCATCCATTCCCCAGGGAGGGTGCTTTCTCCCCCTCCCTGTCTGTCTGTCTGTCTCTCTCTGGCAAGCACACACAATAAATGAATAAATGGCAAAAAGAAAGTTTAATAATAATTTCATTCTTTGGCCTCAAAAATAGAACTTGGACCAGACAATACCTTTGGCTACATGATCTGTGAATTTTTAAATCAAGAATTTTAAATATAATGCTTTAGATAATTTTATTGTGTTGTTTTGCCCAACCTCTTTACTCTTTTATCAATGTTAACACATTTTATGTTTGAAAATATTTAAGAATAATCAAAAACACTTAAAATATTTACATTATTTATTAAGAAAAAATCGCAAATAAATATGAATGTCAAATTATCTGAGTTTATTAAATTAGGATATAAGTTGTTGAAAGAAAGGTATTATTGACTGTAAAAAAGTATGTGTTACATCATAGTCAATAACTATTAAAGACTTTATATATCTTTTTTTTTTCTTTTTTTTTGGTGAGGTTTTTTTCTTATTGGGCACATGCACTCTCCAGAAAGACAAGAGAGAGACAGAGAGATAGAAAGCGAGAAATCACCCCCCAGAGGGGATGGCCAGGCCACAATCCCTTCTCCATTCTCCTCTTGGAATCTTGCGCACACACGTACATGCACCCGGGGTGAGTTTAAGCCACCAGGTCCAGGACTTGAACCACAGTCGACTACATGGGAGTCCAGCAACATAGCCATTACACTAACTGCTTAGTCCCTAAAGGCTTTATAAATCTTCAAATGAAATTTTTTCAAAAAAGGAAATGTAATAGATTACTATATAATAATTGACTATATGCCTTAAAATACTAAGTAACTATTTTTCTCATCATGGACAGAACACACAATTTTGAAACCTAATTTGTTTATTTTTGTGGACTTACTAAATGTTAGCCTTTGCTAGTCCAGTTTACACCATTTATCTTTCCTATGCCAACATTCCGAATTTTGCTCTGAAGTATTCTACATCTCACTTTTATATGACACTAGCCTCAGAGCTAGCTTTTCCAGTTTACTGAGTAGACAGAATATTCAGTGACTGATAAATCAATAAAACCTTATTGTAATGTACAAACTCCCATCTCTATGAAGCAGTTATAAGCAAACTGTAAGTGAATACATGAGTCCAAAAAAAGATACGTTGTGATTATATTGACTCTGAAAACATTTGACTTTCATAGAATACATCACTTATTGTGTAGTATAAATTGGTTGTAGTAGTGTTCATAATTTTTTGAATAATGAATTGAGTGAATCGTAAAACAATAAAAATGTTTATACCCTATGAATACATTTTAAGTAGTTATTCTGAAGAGTTACATGTTAGTGGTAAATTAATAAATATGAATCATATTCTTATTTAGAGAGTAAAACTAGGACGTCTTAATGAAATTTTTATCCTTAGTAATTGAATTTCATACAGTTTCATATATTTTATATATATTATACAAAAATGCATTAAAAACTTTTAAAAATAATTTAAGTAACAATTTTAATACAACTCTACACTGTTTAAGTAATTATGTTTAGAAATAATTCCCACATGGCTGACTGCAGTTCCAGTTCCAGACCTAATAGCCTGAAAATCATGCCAGGCACCTGTGCATGCATGCCCAAAATTCCACAAGGAATATAGAGGAGATAGGATTATGGTGTGGCCATCCCACCAAGGGGTGTAATTTTTAACTATTCCTCTCTGTATCTCTCTCTATCTCTCTGCTCTCTGGCAAGTGCATGCACCCTATGGCAAAAACCAAAAAAAAAAAAAAAAATCACAATAGATAAAGAAATAAATAATTTTTTAAAGGAAATAAAGGAATAAGATTGATAATTGATGCATCTGGGGGCCAGTTGGTGGCATGGTGTTTAAGGTACTGGATTCCCACATGGTGACCACCGTTCAAGTCCTAAAACTGGTGGCTTGCTTTCTCTCTCTCTCACTCTCTCTCTCTCTCTCTCTCTCCCTCCCTCCCTCCCTCCCTTTCTCTGTTGAGTACACATACCCTATATCAAATTTTAAAAATAGGGCCAGCAGATGGCATGGTGGTTATGTCGCTGGACTCCCACATGGCTGACCGTGGTTCAAATCCTGGACCTGGTAACTTGAAAATTATACCAGGCACATGTGTGTGCATGCCCAAGATTCTGGGAGAATGGAGGAGAAAGAATTGCAATGTGGCCATCCTCCTGGGGGGTGATTTCTCACTTTCCCTCTCACTGTCCTCTATCTGTCTCTCTCTCTTTCCAGTAAGCACATGTGCCCTAAGGCAAAAAAAAAAAAAAAACTTTAAAAAATTAAGAAATTCTTTAAAAAAGAGAAGATTGATGCATTTATTTCATCCCTATAGCAGAGCAGTTAAGACCTGTGTATAAAAGCAGATTCCACATGGGCAATCTCAGTTTGAGTCCAGACACCAGTGACTTGAAAAACATGCTAGGGGTGTGTGTGTGTGTGTGTGTTCAAAATCCTGATAGGATAGAGAAATGAAGGAACAGGGACTGTAGAGTGACCACATGCCATTGGGAGAGTTCTCCCTCTCTCCCCCTCTCTCTCTCTCTCTCGCACATGTACGTGCCTTCTGGTAATTAAACAAAAGTCTATGGATACATCTAAGATTACTTTGGCTGTCATGTCACCCTGTTCATTTCAAAATAATTCCTGCTTAATGAACAAGTCTCATTACTCATTAGAATGTTGACCAAGTCTTAAATAACTAACCCATCTGTCTGCCTAATTCTTAAATGAGACCATAACTTTATGGTAAAACTTAGCTTAAATACTGTCTTCTCAATAGTTTACATCATTGTCAGAAATATCACTTTTAACTGCCAGAAAGTGGTTGATTATATTTATAATTGGTTTATCTACGTGTTCTAATTAGTTACTGTAAACACAATCATTACAGAAGGGTTGGTTGAGGAAGCAAATCTATACCCAATATAAACACTAGGATTTTTTTTCAGATGTTAAAAACCAATGTATTTTTTTCTAAATTAAGAAAGAAAGAAAAAATCCTGATGGATCAAACAGGAAATTGTTCCACAGTCAACATAAGCAATGGTATTAATATTTTTCCTAATTATAATTATGATAGTAGGATATTGGTCAATTTTAGTCATGTCTTTATTCGCCAAATATTTTTAAGCATATATTCACATTAGGCACTGTGTTAAGCACTATACACAAACTCAGATTTTTCCTTGACCTCATGAAGTAAACAATCTTTCAGGAGACATGAGTGTTAAAAATATGTATATAATTAGAAAGTATGTTAATGTGAAGAGGAAAAGTTCCTAGGAGCTATTATATATGAGACCATAGAGCTTGGCATATCAGAGAAATGGAAAGATCTTTGCAGCAGAGAAAAGGAAACTTGGAGCGAAACCGTGCTTTTGTGGGGTTTTGTTTGTTGGGGTTGTTTTATGTTTTGTTTTGGTTTTTTTTGTTTGTTTTTTAGATTTTTTTGCCTTGGGATGTGTGCACTCACCAGAGACAGACAGAGAGGGAAAGTAAGAAATCACATACCAGGGGGATGGCCACACATCAATCCCTTCTCCTCCATTCTCCTCTCTGAATTTTGGTCCTGCATGTGTGCCAACGCTACACACACACACACACACACACACACACACACACACCCTGCATGATTTTCAGCCCACAGGCTCCAACCTCAGAGTCAGCCATGTGGGAGTCCAGCACTTTAAACACCATGCCACCTGCTGGCACATCTGTTATGTTTATTTTATTTTCTATAAAAAAAAAAAGTTTTGCTTCTGAGGTTTATATTACTATAGTTTACTTATCTACTGCTGTATAACAAAGTATGCAAAACTTAGTGGCCTCAACCAATATTAATTATGTCAGTTTCTTTGGATTAGGAATTGCAGTTCGCCTTAGCTGAGTCCCGTAGTTCTGCATTGCTCTTGATGCCTGCCTGAGAAGGATCTACTTCCTAGAGGCTCACCTGGTTGTTGTTAGGTTTCAGCTCCTCAGAGGCTGTAGTTCCTCACACACTCCAGGCCCCCTTTGGGTCTTTGCTTTATAGGGCTCTTCAATGGCATCTCACAAATACAGCAGCCAACTTCACCTGAATGAACAAGCAAAATGGCACTAGAGTCACAGTCTCTGGTAACCTAATCACAGAAATGACATTTCCTCACTTTTACCCAATTCAGTCCATTTAGAAGCAAGACACTAGGTCTAGTCCACACCTACAGGGAGGGGCTTACACAATGGTGTGACTATCAGGCCGAAGCCAGCAATCACTGGGAGCTAGGTCAAAAGCTGACTCCCACGAAGTTTTTAAAACATTACTTCTACTGGGCCTTGGGTAACTGAAAATTAGTGGTCTGCGTGACATGCAGTTAATCAAGCTGCCTCATGAGTATGTGACAGTTGTGGGCAAATGCACAATCACAGTCTGACTCTGGGACAGCATCACAATCCTCTGAACATATACAAGATCCAGACTAAAGAAACTGAAGGTCATGGCAGAGTTGAAACTTCTGAAGAAACCGGAACTTGTGCCAAATTAAAGAATCATGTAAATTCAGAAACTTAGTAGATTATGAACTAGGCAATTAGCAAGATCTAACTGTTGTGCTGTCAGTTCCAGCCAGCTTCCTACTTGCAAATTTGAACTTTGAGCCAAAGTGCTGCTGGGTAGCATAACAAACAATAAAATAATTCAACTTTTACCTCCTTCAAATCAAGATAAATCTGAGAGAGTCTGAATCAAAAATTAAACCAGACCTACTAGTAAAAATAATGAAAATAAAATAACGAGGAGGAGTGCTTAGCTGTGGTGAAGACAATGTGCTATGTTGAATGTATGTGAAGGTGTAGCAATTTTACTGGTACTTCAAATCTGTTATAGATGCTGTTAATGGAAAGTATAGCTTCCATTGAAAAACTGAGAAACAATGGAAGTTTAGTAAAAATTTAAATAAGAAAATGTAAATATTTAAATACTGAGGCTTATTTTAAAAGAACAAGAGAAGTATAATCAGTCATTAATATGAAAAATTACTAACAGATTTGGAATAAAATGAACACGATTATTGCCATAGTAGAAATGTCAGTGAATGGACAGCTGTTAAAATATTTTGGTAAAAAAAGAATAAAAAGAACTTTAAATGTGAAGCAGTACGAATGGTATGAGAGTGGTGCCTGCTCTTTCCTGAGCACCTGGAATTACTTGAAGGTACTTGAAAAATTCCTTAAATGTTATTTCTTCTGCTTTCCAATTAGGTTATCATTTTAATCAAGTATGCATCAGGCTCTGAGATTAACACTGGAAATGGCTGTTAAATAAAATTCTAGGCAGCACACCTGCCATCAGCAAACTTATAGTCTAGCAAGGGATGCTGACAGGAGACAGCAAGCACAGTAAGGGATGTGGCCCCATGGGGACTTAAGAAGAGCACCGTAGATGTGGGTGAGTCAGAGAAGGTTTATACTTGTGCAAAAGCTGTGTGTTCCTTTCTCTTTGGTCTGTGTTTCTCGGAATCTGGATTACCCATTAGAGTGTGCCATAGAAAAGGGGTCTAAAAATGAAGATTCAGCCCCTTCAAACCATAATTTTAAAATATTGAGTTAGCTATAGAATATGTACAACCAATATTGTCCACACACTAAAGAAATTATATAGAACCTAATCAGATCCATATAACTCATTTAAAACCGTCAGGAGGGATCAGCAGTTGGTATAATGGCTATGTCACTGGATTCCCATGTAATTGACTATGGTTCAAGTCCCGGACCTGGTGGCTTCAACTTACATCGGGCACATGTGCATGCGTGCCCAAGATCCTGAGAGTAGAATAGAGGAGAAGGAATTGGCAGTATGGCCATCCCATTGGGGGATGATTTCTCGCTTTCTGTCTTTCTGGCAAACGCATGCACCCTATAGCAAAAACCACTCAAAAAAGAACAACCCTCAGGAATAGACACATTTCAGAATATTTCAATTCTTATAGAAAAAATGTGTGTGGTGAATATTCTCTTTGGCTGTCCCAGAGAAGTATTCTGAAATTGAACATGTGAGTATTTCTGCAATGGGATATATGAATTATCATCCTAAGTCAGATCACGTTTTGCTGCTATGTAAGTTTACAGCACAATTGTTATTTTTTTAAATGTTATGTTTACCATAAGTCTCATGCTTTCACTGGAGAGAAACAGAGCAGATGGCCATGATGCAATTCCTTCTCCTCCATTCTCTCGAGGATTGTGGGTGCACACACACACACATACACACACACAGCATGATTTACAAGCTGACAGGTCCAGGACTCAAACTAAGTCAGCCATGTGAGAGTCCAGCACCTTAAACACCCTATGGCTTGCTGACCCTACAGCACAGTTATAAAAATATTTTTTGGTTTTTCAGAATTCTCTGAACTTAAAAATTGTACATTTAAGAATTATGGGGACCAGGACCAGCAGTTAGTGTAATGGCTATGTCGCTGGACTCCCATGTAGTCGTCCGTGGTTCAAGTCCTGGACCTGGTGGCTTAAACTCACACCGGGCGCATGTTCATGCATGCCCAAGATCCCTAGAGGAGAATGGAGGAGAAGATATTGCAGTATGGCCATCCCCCCTAGGGGGTGATTTCTCACTTTCTGTGTCTCTGTCTTTCTGACGAGCGCTTGCGCCCTATAGCAAAAACCTCTCAAAAAATAAATAAAAAGAAGAAGAATTATAAATATAGTATACTTACCCATAAAAAGATTGTTAGACCTGAAAAATTAATAATTAAGATTTCCATAATATGGTACTGGCACAGGAACAGACATGTGAACCAATGGAACAGAATTGAGTCCACAGGAATAAATTCCCAATCATTCAGTCAACTGATTTTTGACAAGGGGTACCAGTCAATCCAGTGGGAAAAGGAAAACCTCTTCAGCAAATGGTGCTGGAAAAA